ATATATATATAGTATATTGCCAAAAGTATTAGGACACCCCTCCAAATCATTGAATTCAGGTGTTCCGTGAAATATCCTTGCTACTAAATATTCCAGTCACCTGTTAGTGGTATTATAACAAAGTGGAAGCAACTGGGAACAACAGCTACTCTGCCACGAAGTGATAGGCCACGTAAAATGACAGAGCGTGGTCAGCGCATGCTGAAGCGCACAGAAGTCTCCAGCGTCAATAGCTACAGACCTCCAAACTTTATGTGGCCTTCAGATTGGCACAACAACAGTGCATAGAGAACTTCATGGAATGGGTTTCCATGGCAGAGGCAGCTGCATCCAAGCCTTACATCACCAAGTGCAATGCCTAGCGTCGGATGCAGTGGTGTAAAGCACGCCGCCACTGGACTCTAGAGAAGTGGAGACGTGTTCTCTGGAGTGACGGATCACGCTTCTCTGTCTGGCAATCCGATGGACCTGTCTGGGTTTGCCGGTTTCCAGGAGAATGGTACTTGCCTGACTGCATTGTTCCAAGTGTAAAGTTTGCTGGAGGAGGGATTATGGTTGTTTTTCAGGGGTTGGGCTTGGCCCCTTAGTTCCAGTGAAGGGAACTCTTAAGGCATCAGCATACCAAGACATTTTGGATAATTTCAGGCTCCCAACTTTGTGGGAACAGTTTAGGGATGGCCCCTTCTTGTTCCAACATGACTGCGCACCAGTGCACAAAGCAAGGTCCATAAAGACATGGATGAGCGAGTTTGGGGCGGAGGAACTTGGCTGGCCTGCACAGAGTCCTGACCTCAACCCGACAGAACACCTTTGGGATGAATTAGAGCGGAGACTGCGAGCCCGGCCTTCTCCCCCCAACATCAGTACCTGACCTCACAAATGCGCTTCTGGAAGAATGGTCAAACATTCCCATAGACACACTCCTAAACCTTGTGGGCGCCTTCCCAGAAGAGTTGAAGCTGTTATAGCTGCAAAGGGCGGGCCAACTCAATATTGAACCCTATGGGCTAAGACTGGGATACTATTAAAGTTCATGTGCGTGTGAAGGCCGGTGTCCCAATACTTTTGCCAATATAGTGTATATATAGAATATACACACCAGTCATAACATTATGACCACTGACAGGCGGCACCTGTCAGAATACAATGTAAACAGCAGGATTCCTTGATCGACATGCTGTTTGTGTTGATGGAGGAATCGGGTCAATTCTTTACGTTCAGCCCGCGGGTTGAACAAAAAAAATTGATATGTGTATGGCCAGAATGGAGCATTAGGCTCCATTCACACAGTCTGTGCATATTTGGCCGGCCGAATACGTGCGGAGCCGCTCTAAACAGAAAAAACAATGCACATTAATGTGCATTGTTCAGACTTTTATGGCGGCTGGCAAAAAGGTCCAAACATGATTTTTTGACAGGTTCTGCCCATCTGTGGCTATATAATAGCAGCAAACGAGCAGAATCCATGCGGATTAAATATTTTAGCAATTGCGTTGCTGTGCAGTCTTCCGCATGAAAAAACCGCGCGGGAAACGCAAACCCAATATGTGAATGGAGCCTTGCTGTGTTGCAAGTAGATACTTTTAGCCTCATAGTCTTCTGATCTGATAGAAAATCATCAAACCTGGTAACAATCTGATGTTTGTTCCCTGCTTCATATTCCAATACTTCTACCACCAGCTGCAAGGCAAATGATTACTAGACCAGAAGTTAAGGTGCCCATACACCTTACGATTATTGGACGAAACTTTTCGTCCGATGATCGAATAGTCGTACGATTTTCGTACGGCAGCCCCATCCTGCCCCGATGATCGCAAGATTAATTTAGCCGTCATTAACGAAAAGCACCTGGACGAAATGCGGTAATTGATTTGCCGGTTTTTTTTGTTAGCGCTAGCGCAGTGTAGATCATACGACTTTTGACGGACGGAAACGCCAGCAACCTTACGACAATCGTACGATCTAGCAAAGTTTTCAAACATGCTTGACCGTCAAAAGTCGTACGATTGTACAGTATTGTCGGTCGGACACTGCAATGCACACATACGATTATCGGACGAAAAGTCGATCGCATACGAAAATCGTATGATAATCGTGAGGTGTATGGGCACCTTTACACTGGAGGCTGATCAGACTTGTTGGGGGTCTGTTTGTCAATGTGTTCACCCAAGACACACAGTTTTCACCCAGGGTTTACATTTGGGTGAAACATGGGTCAAAGTGGTGTGAAACTTGGGTGAAAACTGAAAACATTGATCAATTGATGCTGTTATGGCAACTTCTTATCTCATCTTATAGTTAGATTAAGAGGAGAATTCAGGAAGTAAAATTGCCTTTTTTTTTTGCCCCCCCCTTAGTTTAAAAATCAGAAGGCATGTTCAGAATAAAATTAAAGAAGAAACTTCCCCTCTTGACTTCAGCAAGATGGCGTTTGGGTTCTATCTATCAATATGATGGCTTTGTTGCACAGAATGAGGCTTACGTTGATTGCTGGCTTTGTCCTGTGCATGCTTGATGTAATTCTTTATATGGGCACCATTTATCAGAGCTGTCGGCCATATCCCCAAGCCTGCCTAGTAAAAATGATGTGTATAATCTCACCGCCATATCGTGACGTCGGAAAGGACCTGCACATGCACAATAGTGACAGTACAGCCTGCAAACTACTGTGGGATCTCACTTTCATGTTCCTGATATCACAATAAGGCAGTAATACCGGCCACTACTGTGCATGTGCGGATCTCACCGTCATATTCAGGGGCGTATCTGCCGCGAGGCAAACAAGGCGTTTGCCTGGAGCGGCAGATTATATTGTTATGTCAGGAACATGGCAGTGAGATCCCACAGTGGTTGGCAGCGTGTACTGTCACTATTGTGCATGCGCAGGTCCTTTCTGACATCGCAATATGGCGGTGAGATTATACGTATAATTTCTAATAGGCAGGCTTGGGCATATGGCTGACAGCTCTGATAAACGGGGACTGTATACAGTGAGAGGTGAGATCCCACACGTGCAACTTATATTCCAGAAATCCCTGATAGCGCTAGGTCTTATTTTCGGGGTAGCTGCACCGTATAATTACATTCTACATGTCACGGCCGCAGCTCCCTCCCTCCCCGCCAGGCACACCCCCCTCACCTTTCTGGCTCCATGGACGGCATTAGAGCAGAGAGCGGCCGCAGCTCCCTCCCTCCCCCACGCCAGGTACGCCTCCCCGCACGCCCACCTGTCTGGCTCCCTGGACGGCATTAGAGCTGAGAGCGGCCGCAGCTCCCTCCCACCCGCACGAGCGGAGATCAGAGAGCGGACAGCTGCAGCCAGGTACACATAAGACATCCCCCGAAACCTAGTGTCTTTTTTCGTGGAAAAAAAAATATAAGACACTGTCTTATTTTCGGGGAAACACGGTAGGTCCCAATAAACTACTGTGCACACCAATTTGCTGTTTTCTCTGCCCAACACCACATGCCCACCCATCTACCCCTGCTCTTACCTTTTTATTCCCTGCCCCCCCACTTCTAAAACTCTACCCTGCACCCTCACCTGCCCTGCCCCCCCCCTTACAATTCTGCTGCTCGCCCACCCTGCACCCTTCTCTCAACATTGTTCCCTGTGAAGCCCCCCCGACATACGACCACGCCTGCAACCTCCCCCCCTTCTCTCACCACCACACTTGCCACCTGCTCCCATCACAAAATCACTTGCTTTGACGCATTTCGCAGCCGTGCTTCCTCAGGAGAGTCTGTATTGGTATCATAAATACATAACATCAGTGTCAATACAATTGCAGTGCTTCCTTATTTTTTTACAGTATTGGACTCACTCAGTACTCTGTGGACTACCATAGCAGCTGCATCTGGTGGGTGCGGGGGTGGGCATGACCTGCTGCCCAGAGAAGGCTTTGCGGGTGGACCCATGCAGGGCCACGCTACTCCATCCTTTATGAAATGTCATATATATACTGTACATACATTTATGACCCCATCAAGATGTCACCCAATATCAATCCAGCACTGAAAAATATGAACATCTCAGGACTCACCCACAGAATAGGGGTGTAGTTCAGATAGGACAGCCTGAAAGGGGCGGTGGAAGGCTCTCACAGAAACGTCACTGCATATTCCTACAAGTCCCATCTGTGACTGAGGAGAGGGACTACACACAGCACATCAGGGGTCCCTCAGTCTGCAGTTCATTCATTGCGCACTTGCTCCAGCCCTATACCACGTGATCTGTACCTGTGTAAAGACCTGAGGCTACTAGAGGAATACACTGCAAGAGCCTGTACATTGCACTCACAACACACTGATCACAGATGCAATGCAAATAAATACATGCACATTGATGGTGAGATCAGTTTTGCTGCACTTATTCCTTTTTTTGTAAAAGGTGGACTGCGCCTTTAACCCGTTCTCTTTTACACATACATTGTACACACATGTCCCTCCTCTACAGAGAGGAGTTTCCTCTCCTGCAGCCACCACACAGCCGTACGCAGGGCACACAGCCTGCCGATCAAAGTAAACGAGCGCACATATCAGCCGCATAACGTAACCCAACAGAAACCGAGCGATACGAGGGACCTGATCACCACTCCGCCCATATCACTCCCTCTACCAGCCTATCGGCACCTTCGCCCCGCCTTTTTGGGCGGTTTAATCTGTACGCTGCCTTGGTTACCAGCTTATCGAGTGGGCGGAGTCGAATTCAAACTTGAGCGGGAGCCCCTGTGCGGAAATCGTTGTGAACGGAGAGTGAACCGGACCCGTGCAGAGTTCCGCTTCGTGCCCGGGGGACACCTGCGAATGACCTGACTGCGGCTGGAGGACACAGCGGGTAAGACGCCGCCGCTTTGCGGTATGTTTGTGTAGGAGAGCGCATGGAAGATGGCCTGAGGCTGGGTGTGCCTAGGGCCGGGTAGTGCAGGCCGTCTGCATATAAGGAGCCGGCCCAGGGACTGTACAAAGGGCCGTCCTGTTATACAGAGCCGGATGGAGGGCCCGGGGACTGTCCGTTATATAGAGCTGGATGCATGGAGGGCCTGGCATGCGGACGCCGGGCAGGTATGCGGGGACTTGTAGTGCTACAAGACTGCAGACATGGCTTCCCCATGCTGGATGACTGCATACATTAGACGGGCCTTACTTCACCCTTCTACACCAGAGGAAGCCTCCACGTCATTGTCACGTGTTAATAATTATACTTACAGCTCCCACAACTGGGCAACTCATGCTGTTGTGGAACTACAAGTCCCATGAGGCATTGCCAGACTGACATTTACAGAAGTGACTCCCAGACGGGTGCATTATGGGATTTGGAGTTAAAGCACAGCTGGGGGAAGCTGCAGTTGCCCACCCCTGGCTCACACTGTTAGCAATGTCAGTAAGGTACAGATATAGTATATGATAAAAGAATATGGCCTTCCTATAGTGTTTTAATTACTATTGCAGAGATGATCAAAATAATGAGGGCCACAGACTCCCATCAGGACACTAGTGGAGCTGTCCCAGCACACAGATGCCCCAATCTGTATAGTTCACACCACGGTGCTGCGTTTGTTGTACTGAAAATAAGTCGTACCTTTTTCAGCTCATTGTGGTCATATGCAATCCACCACACTGCTCTGAGGACAATGGAATGAAATGTAACTTTGTGATGTTTTGACAAAAAAAATAGTCCCAAGTACTGTTTCCAGCACTGCAGCATACACCAGCAGCCCTTGTTCTAACACAGCTGCTGGTGTGAACGGGCCCTTACATTGATATTCCCCCTTATATTGCTGGTTAATAGGAAGGATGCCGCCCTGATGGCTCCTTCATTCTAGGAATTCATCAGAATCCGGAGCAGTTGCCCATAGTAACCAATCTGCTTCTCCCTTCAGTTCAAGTATTGAAAAAAGAGAGAAGCTGATTGGTTGCTTTGGGCAACTGCTCCAGTTTTGATGAATTCTCCTCTTAGTGGTGACTGGTGTGTTTTTTTTTTTTGTTTTTTTTTTTGCACAGGTCACCACTGGGGCAAACAGAAGACAATTGTTTTCTATGTGTCCTGCTGACCTCAGGTGGGTTGCAGAAAAATGCAGCACGTCTTGGTTTTCTTGCAACTCGCTTGCAGTCTCTGCTGGTCACCATAATGTAACTCGGCTGCAGGGCCGATTCACACCATACGTTTCGGGGCAGCGCTGGACACAATTTGCCTTGTCACAGACTGGCTCGGTTCACACCACTGTGTTGTGGTATGTGCTGGAAAAAAAAGCATGGCACGTACTGTTTGGGTTTTTTCAGCGTAGCGGGATGCGAGCAGTACAACGGCCTCTCAACCTGCTGTGCCCAATGAACTGAATGACATATCACTTGTGACATTTCAAGAAAGTTCTAAAAAAAAAAAACACTGCCCTGTGCTGGCATTGGTACTATGTCAGGCAACGCATACCAGTTACTGTGTGTTTAGCGCAGCGTCTGGTGTGTATTGGCCCTCATTGTTATTTTCTGACACTTTAATATAGTTTAAGATAGAAAATGTAAAGATTGTGAGGTGCTGAAACCGCACAAAACACAACCCCCATAGAACAGCAAACTGCTGCTAGTGTGCATGGTCCCTCACAGGCAGCTGGAAAGATGGTGGCATGCCACTGCCTCTTAGGGGTCGTTCACATGATCTCTGAGCTGCAGTGATCTGTATAAATCAACACAAGGCCACATAGACAAGTGTGTGTGTTCTGTTCACACCACCCTCTGAGGTCTGTTGTAGTCCAAAACAGAAATCATGTTTGGTGTGAATATGCCGGACAATGCGCAGGTTTGCTGTAATGTGTGTTCACAAACCCCAGAAAATGCCTGACCCATGCGTTTTCTCACTTATGCGTTTGCAATGTTTTTACTGGGTGGACACACCTTGGGGGTCCAATAGAGATGAATGGGCTCATCTAAAAAATACACACTAAGTGAGCTTGAAATGTTTTTATTTTTTTTTAAATGTTGGGTTGTAATTAACCTTCTGTGTTCTTCTTGCCCTTCCTGTAGGAAAATGGCGACCACAATGCTGAGCGTTCGCAATCTCTTTGAGCAGTTAATGCGTCAGGTAGAAGGTCTCAATGAGGGCATTGAACCACGTAAGTATATGATTTGTGCAAAGGATTAAGTTGCATTTGCTGTTGTTGTGACCATCCTGCTCTTTCAGTGTTCTGAAAGTACCATTTGTTCAGCCTTCCATTAAAGGAGAACTATGAGGTGAGTGATTTTCACTCACCTCATAGTTCTAGCCGACCTGTGACAATTAAACTGTCACAGGTCGGCTCAATAGATCGGGAAGTGAGCGAACAAATACCATCGCATGATCACTTCTCGATCTATCCCTGCAGAGAGCCGTGACTGTCACTCACGGCTCCCCGCAGGGATTTCTAATCCTTGTAGATTAGTGAGGTCCAGTCAGAGAGGGCTGTCCATGGAAATGCCTCTAATCCTGGTAGATTAGTGAGGTCCAGTCAGAGAGGGCGTCCATGGAAATGCCTCTAATCCTTGTAGATTAGGGAGGTCCAGTCAGAGAGGGCGTCCATGGAAATGCCTCTAATCCTTGTAGATTAGTGAGGTCCAGTCAGAGAGGGCTGTCCATGGAAATGCCTCCCATTGTTGCAGATGAGAGGTCCTTCCTAATTTCTAATAAATTGTTATCTAATGGGGACCAGAAGGATGATGTCATGTCTGTAACATGAGAGAGGGAGCAGTAAAGTACTTATAACTGCCTCTATGCACAGGTACTGTTATATGGGATAGCACATGGAATGGCTTGGTTTGCTTTAACTGTTCAACCTATCCTTGCTGTTCTGCTCATGGTACCAATCACAGTATGGAAATATACAGAGATGGGTACCTTTCCAGTTTTGCAGTCAAATTTGAGAGAACCCCTTTTTTATATGGTTTTTCCCATTCACACCGCTTACCTTTTTTAAAACGAGATGTTTCTTTGGAGGAGGCCTTTGGCCAGACTGTAAGCTACTCTGAACAGTTTAGCTGTGATTCTGTCCTCGCAACAAAGAACAGGCTGCACTTTCTCTCATTAACATACAACCTTAACCATTTGTTAGGACGGACAGTTTTCAATTTAATTATGGTAAAAACTCCTCATCCTCCTCAGACCCCATTCTTGAAATTTACGTGAATGGGGGGGAAAAAAAACTTCAGCTTTTGGAGTTTTCAGAAAAGAGTAATTAAAATGGTAAGCAACATTTTTTAAATATATTTTGTCATGTGACTGGGAACATATAACAAATATAAAATGGGTGTTATTCTCATATGGCTGCACAAGTGGAAATAGACTTTTATATGGCACTTCCAGAATGCACTAAAACATTCCTAATTAGACACACAAAGCACTTTCCCATGCTACACTTCTTTACAGCATTTCTTCTTTATAGTACATGTGGACTGTGTATTATCTAGGCCAGGGCCTTGTTGAACAATTCAAGCAAATTGATATTTTACTTTTTAATCAATATTTATATAACATTACTACAGAGCTGGCAAGAATTAGATGTCATTAATATGAAACAGAATTTAATTGGAAAGGCCATTGCTGTTCAATCAGAGGTTCTTTCCTGTAGTGTAATTGATTGCTTGGAAGGAAAAGGCACTTTGCTTTGCCTGTGGAGCCTTTAGGTACAGTTCACCTGCGGATTTGTTTGTAAACAGAATTATCCTGACATTTTCCTAAATGCTAATGGTCGATCTTTGTCTTAGAATTCATTCAGCTGGCTAAGAATTTTGAGGATTTTCGAAGAAAATGGCAAAAAACGGAGCAAGAAATTGTAAAAAACAGAGAGCTGCTGATGAAGACAGAGACGGAACGCAGTGCCCTGGAAGTGAAGCTGAAGCATGCTCGCAATCAGGTTGATGTGGAGATTAAAAGAAGACAGCGTGCAGAGGCAGAGTGTGAGAAATTGGTGAGATAGCTGCACTTAAGTCACTGTAGTTATCCGTGAATAAATGTGAACCTATCGCAGACCTGAGCAATTCAAACTGAGCATATGATGATAAAACGTATGTAAGCGGAAGTGACTTTACATTGCTAAAAGAATCTCCCTGCAGATGGAAGGTTTAATACTAGGGATGCACTGATTGAGCGGTATTTCGATATCGACTACCAATATTTTTTTCAGGTACTCGCAGATACCGATACCGGAAGTCCCATTCAGGAAGCCAGGCGGCTTGTCATGACTCACCACCTGGCTTCCTGATTAGCCGGGAAGCTGTTCACATGCTTCTCGTCACTAGGTGACGACAAAGCATGGACCCGGCATTCTGGCAATCACGGGTGCCATGTAATGACGTCATGAGGTGACGAGGGAGCATGAAGCCGGTTGCTGCGTCATTACATGGCACCTGGCTTTCTGATTGGCCAGCTTCCCGACCAATCAGGAAGCCGGGCAGTGAGTCATAAAAGGCTGCCAGGCTTCCTGATTGGCCGGGAACCTGGCTCCATGCTCCCACGTCATAAGTGCTTCCCGGCCAATCGGGAAGCCGAGCAACCTGTAATGACTTGCTGCCGGCTTCCTGATACCGGAAGTATCAGGCTAGGCATCGGAGCATTTGGACAAATACTCGGCACCAATACTAGTATCGGTACATCCCTCGTTAATACCTTCCTCTCCCACCCCACTAATATTCCGGTGTCTGCCGGGGCTCTGCTGGCTGAAAAGTCTTTTGCACCTGCCATTTCCAGGTATATAGCTGGCCATACACTGGAACCTCCCCCCTTTTTTTTTTTTTTACACTTCTTTTAGAGGAGCTGGTCCAAAAATTCTCAGCCCAACAGTAACTGTAGCCAATCAGCTGAAGTCACTGGTCACGTTTTCTGACAGCAGCACATTAGCCGCTTTCGGCATACAATAAGTACTGTTAGTGTTGGTTGAGGGAATAGAGATGGCCAGCTTATCTGTTGCCTGGTCCCCCTCTGCCCACTGTGCTTGCTTACTCTGTCTTTTACTTATTTATTTAATTGTCAACAAGACAGAGTTGCAGGGGAGACCTTTTGTTTCTGTCTGTTACACGGATGGGCCATTAGGGAGGCACAAAATCCAGGGTGAGATGGAGACAAGGCTGAGATTTAAAAGAAACGTAGAGATTTGCGTACAGATCCAGCTGCAGACATCACTGGAGCTACAGATTTAAAATTGCAGCTTTAATTGAGGGTAGGCTCTGCTTGTGCATTAGTTTCATCATCTGCTCAGCTTGAATTGCTTAGGTTTGTGACAGATTTACTTGAAACAAATGTTTTTCTCCAATCGCTTCCAATTAGGGCCTCCCTTAATAAAATAACAAAGGCGTAAAAGCATTTCAAATCTAGTTTCCACGGGGCACCTTAAACACTCCTTGTTTCTGAATATGATAAGGTCCTAAAAATCTGTATAATTTGCAACAGAGCAAAGACTGAATTGTTTCCTTTTTTTTTTTTCCCTTCATCAGGAGCGTCAGATTCAGTTAATAAGAGAGCTGCTGATGTGTGATCCCTCTGGCAGCATCCAGCTCAGCGAACAGCAGAGGAGTGCTTTAGCCTTCCTCAACAGAACTCGTATGTCTACTGATGGCAACGGGACTAAAAGGTATGTCTAAGCTTTGAGTAAGGAGCACTCCATTGACTTGCTCTTCCACTATTTGTGTTGTCATAAAGTATGAATGACTTGGGACTGTGTACTTAAAGGAGAACTATGAGGGAAGTGATTTCCACTCATCCTCATAGTTAGAGCCGACGTGTCAAAGAAGCTGTCACAGGTCGGCTCTATCGATCGGGAAGTGAGCAGAAAAATGCAGCAGATCCGCTCACTTCCCGATTGTCTCCCTGTAGTGAGAAGTGACCGCCGGTCACTGCTTCCTGCAGGGAAGCGTTTGATGGAATGAAACTTTTTAAAAGAGACTTCTGCAGGTTTGCACACTTGATTAATTTTGGCTACATGTACAAGTCTTCATTACATTATTAAACCCTAGAAATAAATATTCCATTTTCTTTTTTTTTCCCTAGGTTATCTACGATAGATGAATCTGGCTCTATACTGTCTGACATCAGTTTTGACAAGACAGAGGATTCTTTGGTAATGAGTTCACTGTAGAGAAACATGCAGGCTCCTAAAATCTTAATGGGAATTGTAAGAACTGTACACTTTGTAGGTCAGTCTGTGTAATGACCAGACTGCTAATTACTAAAGAACTGACATTCTGCTATATTCAGGATTTGCTGCAAAACTCAATAACGGGACCTAACTGAGAGCTTTGCTGTATTACCAGTGACATGTACATTTAAGCTAGTTTGGCTCTTTCAGTGCTTAAAAAGTATACTGGTTTGTAGCCGTTTACATTTGATTTAAAGAGCCTAGATAGTTTTAACTCTTTCCTACAGCTGGCTGCCTTCCGGTTTTGGATATGTTGGCAGTGAGAGGAATACTTTAGTAAGAAACTATATTCGCTGGCATTACTAGCCACCTTCTGAAGTTCATACATTATGATTTAGGCCTAGGAAAAAGTATGCAGCCAGTGAATTCAGAACACCTGATTTTACTTGTTTAGTGTCAGTTACTTGAATTATGGATCACCATGACACCCACGCAGCTAGTATTGTAAGAGAGGATAGCAATGACAGTCTTTTTTGTATTTCTGCAAAATGTTGTACCTGGATACAAATGGCATACAGTATATGTATGAAGTGCTAGGGCCACATGCAGCAACCCTTGTTCTCAGCCTCCTTTACAGTTTAAAGTACACTAACATACTCCTAGCAAACTTTTATTTGAAAACGGTTCCTTGGATTATGTGTTTGGCTGCAATCACTGTCAGCTGACCAGTTTGGCCCGGCTTCTTTGACAAAAGTCGATTTTTGAGTGGTCAACTTTTGTGGAGCTGGAAGGGCCATTCGCTGTCAGAAATTAAGTGTATGGCCAGCTTAAAATTGATCTTTACCCCCTTTCACTAAAAATCACATCAGTATACAGCTCAGCATTCTAATATAAAATCCTCTTGCATTCATTAGTTAAACAAACCTGTTTTTCCTTTACTTACAAATAGAGTTCATCTACTTCCTGGTCCAGTTTAGTCACAAATGATGTAATGTGCCATGTATTGCATCCTGGGAAGATTACATCAGCAGAGCATTGCTGGAAAATCTCATCTGTAAGCTCATGAGATCTCATGGAAAGGCATTTTCCTCCCCTGAGAAGATGTTCAGGGTCACATGTCCTAGTCGCATGTGCCAGAGTTCCAGGAAGTAAAGGGAGATCTAGTAACCTGCCCTTACTTAAAATGGCCACTGTCAGAAGACTGGGTATGAAAAGATAAATAAGTATCTGCAGATCCCATTAGTAACGTTTCTAAAGGTGTGTTTGCTTTTATTCTAAAGATATAGGTAAAGTTCCTCTTTACAAGTGTGCAAAGGGTTAATGTAGAGTATGCCCCTGCATATGTGTCGACACTGCTTTCCTTTAATGACCAGATGTACTGCTACTTGGATGTAACTGTGCCAAGTGGTAATTGCCTACTTGTGATTTTCTGACTGTTGCGATAATTTTACAAACTGATATATTTTTATTGAAGGACTGGGATTCGTCTCTGGTGAGAAATGTGAGGCTGAAGAAAAGAGAAAAACGGGTATGGAGGACAGAAATTGAGTTCATGCACTTGGCACAAAAATTTGGATATGTAACCAACTGATTTTCTTTATTTTATTGTAGCGCTCTTCCAGGCATCAGACAGAAGGTCCTCCTGTTCCATCAAAGCGAACACGTTCATTCGGATTAGCTGTGGATCCGGTTAGTCTGCCAGGAAATGCTGTGTCCTGTTTTAATATGCAGATGCTAATTGTATTTTGGTTGGTGCTTTATTGCACAGAAACTGAAGATACCATAGCATTTACCGTCTGGTATTCTCTGCCCTCTGAGGGTACCTGGAAACATTTGCTCAGAATTGGGGTGTCTGAGTCGCAGACTGTCAGAAACGCCTCCCGATTCTATGTGCTGGGTGCATAGGCAAGTTCTTGTTAGACAAAGCTAAAAAACAAAAACATTTCAGCTAATTGATGTCTATAGCCACCTGAAACCAAAAATGTCATATACCCCATACAAGAGAGAAACTCGCTCTCTTGGGTTCTTCAGTAGTGAGATCGATCTGTGTCTTTTCCTACCTTGCTTTGACTATCCTACCAAACTCCGGCATTCTCCACTACATAAAATATTTTAAACTATGCAGGAAAACTGGAATCCACTGATAGAGGGATATCTGAACCAACCCGCCATATCCACGCATCACACCCACAAAAAGTGTGAACCAAAATGGCTATTATAGGGGACTTTTCAGGTACTACAATGATATACCTATACCCCACATTTGTTTGTAAATAAATATAAACTTCATACATAAGTAATACAAATGGTTAATTGAATACATTTTGACTCTGTTGCAATAATAGAATGCATATACAGTATCTACAATACCTGGTAACTCATCTAGGGAGGCAAAGTATGATACCCATGTGATGTGACAAAGCATATGTTTTAAAATACAGCATAGGGTATCCTTCTAATTTATCAATTATCTTCCACTATGAATGGATGATTAGCCAACTGGCTGGTATACTCCTTTTTATATAAACAGTCTATATGTATTCGATTGGCCACTTTTTTATTACTTTTGTATCAATAACATTTGGTATTTTTATTTCCAACCGTTGGATAGTGGTATATCATTTGTAGCACCTGAAAAATCTCCAAATAGTTATTATAGTTTATTTTTTGTTTTATATAGGCAATATATAGTAATTTTATACAAATTACTTTTTATTTGTATTGTCCCAAGTCAAATGAGCTGCCTGTGTGTCAATATGTCTAGCTTGTGTGCACCAGGCAGGCTTCAATATCTCCCTCTTATCTCTATTCCCCCTCCCCCCCAAATACCCACACTATGTAAAACGTCTGTAAAGGTTCTCATTCATCCAGGTCATGGTGTATCTATAAAAATAAGTCAAGGCAACTGGGCTGCTTGCTGCAATTCAGAGAGAGCTGGTTGGATGACCAGTGAAACGTCTTCAAGAAGAAATACAGCAAGTCCAGTTGTCTTGACTTATTTTTTTACAGATATATGTAAAACATTTAAACTTACAGTGATAACAGTTGATTTAAACTGACCCAAAACCATTATAGTTCCTCTAGGTCAGGTTTTCATGTGTGTTTTTACATGTATTTTACATGTATTATACTTCCATGTTATGTAGGCCAACGAGTCCATAATAACTAAAACGACAGTGACTGTTCCAAACAATGGGGGTGTTATTGAAGCCGTGTCAACCATTGAGACTGTACCAAAGGGGGGGGGGGGGGGGGGGGTGTATATGTGTGTTTGTGTATATGTGTATATTTATTTTTATTTTCTCTCAGCTCAACTGCAGCAATGGAGTAGTGACTCTAGTTTGAGACCATTTGATGAAAGGAATGAAGCTGACAGCTGTAGGACCCCACAGCATCACGGAATAAGACTTCATGAGTTTGTCTCTAAAACAGTGAGTGTAATGCAAAATTAACGTGTCTGCTTTCCCTGTTCTGCCTTTTCGGTCCCTATAACTTAATTTTCAAACCTCAGGTAATAAAACCAGAATCGTGTGTCCCCTGTGGGAAGAGAATCAAATTTGGCAAACTGTCCTTGAAGTGTCGGGACTGTCGAGTTGTGGCTCATCCAGAATGCCGGGAGCGCTGCCCTCTTCCATGCATCCCTACTTCAGGGAACACTCCAGTCCGTATTGGAGAGGTAGAACCCTTTCAAAGATTATCCATGTTGTTTGCCAGATGTTTCTATTTAAAATCTAGTCAAAGCCAACACTTTCAGCATTGCTATCTCTTTATTTTTGTTTGCTTAATTATGAGATGCCACTTTTGTAAATTGAACTAGATTGATTTTAATTCTCATCCTGTCAAATCTATAGTCTTTTTGTGGATTTTGTTCATTTTAAAATCAGTTAACTAACCAGAGTTTCTTGTGTTGAAGGGCTCTCTTGCTGACTTTGTTCCACTAACTGCTCCAATGATACCCCCCTTAGTCGTTTACTGTGTCAGTGAAATAGAGCAGCGGGGACTTCATGAGGTAAGGTTTACTGTGTAGATGAAAAATACTGGTGTGTGTGTTTACTGTTAAGCAACTATTTTCCTTTAAAGGAAGCCTGTGTTAAAGGAGAACTATGATGTGAGTGATTTTTCACTCAGCCTCATAGTTCTAGCCGACCTGTGAGAATGAAACTGTCACACGTCGGCTCAATAGATTGGGAAGTGAGCGAACACATACTGTCCCTAGTGACTATCACTCACGGCTCGCTGCAGGGATTACCCCCGCTCCGATCCTCCACTGCTGACTGGCGTAACGTATGGGGGAGGGGGCAGGTACAGCTGGCTCTGCCTCTGCCTCTGTACAGAGGCAGAGCCAGCTGTCAATCACGCAGCTAGGTGGATCTCGACAGTAATGTCGGGATCCGTCCCGGCTGCAGTGGTCTCAGTATACAGCGAGCTACAGCTATTTTGAGCTTAGGGTGACGGGATGACGCTAGTTTGTGTCCTCCAGTGACCCTTAGGAGAACTATGGGAAAAAACACTTACCCCATAGTTCTATTTTAAGAGAAATTAGGATGCCTTGGCTGCATTTTGTAAGATTTGTAGATGCATAACTCTTGTGTCGATTTGGCTGCCTTTTCAATTTTTTGACTCCCTGACCTGAAGTATGCAGATCTAGAGTCTGGCTGTTAGGAACATTTTAACCACCTCCGGGCCGGCCGTAGTAAAAAAACAGATTGCGCCCATTACGCCGCACATGTTACATATCGCCGCGCAGGCAGCCAGCTGCACCCGTTCGTTCCGCCAGTCAGCGCTGGAGGGGGGATCCCTGCAGGGAGCAGTGAGTGACAGTCACGGCTCTCTGCACCGATAGATCGAGAAGTGAGCAAGCGACGGTATGTGTTTGCTCACTTCCCGATCTACTGAGCCGACCTGTGACAGTTTCATTCACAGGTCGGCTCAGATTGAGGCTGAGTGAAAATCACTCGCCTCATAATTCTCCTTTTAAGGGCATCTCACACTAATACTTTGCAGATTGGTACCGGACAGGTACTCCTGATCCACGCTGTGTAGTTTTAGATTGTTCATGCCGTCCAAAGATCTCACCGCTTCAATTCTCCGGCCAGTTAACCGCTTTGTTGGACCCGCAGGTGCAGGCTAAAGTAGTGCGTCCTTACCATACATTTCTGAAAATCTAAAATTTCTGCACTTCACAGGTATCGGCAAGAAAGTTGTTTTTTTTGTTTAATCCAAACTTGTGTATACATCACAAACAAGCTCCCCAGACCCAGCAGAACCCCCTCACACGCTTCGCCAACGTGGCTTATTTATAGAGGCCTCTATGAATAAGCCACATTGGTGAAACGGTTCTGCTGGGTCTAGTGAGCTTGTTTGTGATATGTACACAAGTTTGGATTACAGTGAAGACTGGACTTGCTTGCTGATACCTGTGGAGTGTGTTTCAACTTCTTATCGATTGTAAAATATGAGCAACATTCTTCCCTTTTTTTTTTTTTCCCCCATCTTTAGACTGGTCTGTACAGAATTTCTGGCTGTGATCGTACAGTTAAAGATTTAAAAGAAAAGTTTCTAAGAGGGAAGAGTGTTCCTTTACTCAGTAAAGTGGATGACATTCATGCAGTGTGTGGTTTCCTCAAAGACTTTCTGCGCAACTTAAAGGAACCATTGCTCACTTTCCGCCTCAATAAAGTCTTCATGAATGCAGCTGGTGAGTACTCTATTCCATGTTTGTTTCTGGCAGCAATTGGTATAACCTGGCCATATACTAGTAGATTTCTGAGCCAACTTTCGTATGAAAGCTTTATCACCGACAATGCCATCAGACACTTGACGAATGTCGATCAACGCTTGATTTTAACATATTTGATTTTTGAATCTGGAGTTTCCAGAACGAAAACCACATTCACTGTTATTCTGTTCGTTTGAGAATTTTCTATCCTGCACCTTCAAGTGTTTGGCTTTTATTTTTTGTTACTGCTGTTGAAATCTATTGTCGATTTGACCCCATCAACTAATAGAAAGTCTAAAAGTTTTTTTTGTCCCAAAGTTCTTTTGAAAAATCCTAAGCAGTTTATGGCCAGCTTTAGTCACATGCACAGTTTGTAGTCTGGTAATACTGAACTCTGGGGACAACAAACTACCCTTGAAGTGGGGTGCCCCCTGCATGGCAAGGATTAAATGCTTCTTTTTGCCTAGGGTACTCGGAAAGTACTTTTTGCTTACCTCATCCCTCACTCTCCGACCAGCTGGCACTTTTTTTTTCTCCCTGATACTCTTGGGTTGTGGTCAGTACGTCAGTGCCTATTGTACAATGCCCCGGGGGCTGTAAGCCTAAGATCGCCAAAGCATCAGGGAGGAGAGGCTTTGGGGACCAGAGTGATGGGTAAGTTAAAGTGGACCTTTAGACTCAGCAAATCTAATTCTACCAATGCATCCATCTATGAATGATAAATAATTTTAACATAGACATATCGGGTGTAATGCTGTGATTTAGAAATATTTACACATGCAGAGCATTCACTTCCTGCTTTAAAAGGGGAAAAAGACTTCTTCAGTTAGCCAAAACAATGCACACTGGGATTGCCTTATCAGCAGAGCATTTCTGGGAAATCTCATCCGTAATCTTATGAGATCTCAGGGAAAGGCATTTTCCTCCCCTGAGATGATGTGCGAAAAATCCAGGAAGTAAATTGAGAGCTAGTAATCTGCCCTTAGTAAAAATGGCCACTGTCAGAAGAATGGGGAAGAAAAGATAATAGCTGGCTTTGTATTCTTTGCAGACCTTGTTCATCTAGAAGTATGTGTTTGTAGATTGTCATTGCCAAACATTTCTAAAGGTGCCTTTTTGTTGTTTTAAAGATATGAGTAAAGGTTCGCTTTAAGTTCTTCTTACTGATACTTTAAGCGTAACCAAGTATTGAGCCCTTGTAGTGTGGCAGAACCACAGCAGGTGGAGTTCAGCTTTAAAATGTTTTTACTTTTGCAGTCAAATTTGAGAACCCCTCTATGTTGTGTTCCCATTCATACAGCATATCTAAAAATGTTTACAAATTCCTCAGCTGTTTCTTTGATAAAGGGCTTTGTGTAGATTCCAGGCTACTCTGAGCAGTTTGAGAATATAATGTTAGACCAAGCTTCCTGTCATTAACACACAATGCCCCGAAGACTTTGACACAGTGTTAAAATCTAGTTTGATAATGAAATTCGGCAGCACAGTAAAGGCAGGGTTAATAAACCTTCATACAACCCCCTCCATAAAATTACTAGTGGGGAGGCTAGGTAGGATTTTTCAGCAATCACTTAAAAATATAAGCCGCAATAGTTTTGTTTGTTTTTTCAAAGTGCAATGTGAATGGTAACATAACAAGCATAACATAGGTGTTCTCCAGATTTGGCTGCAAAATTGGAACTACACTTTAAAGAAATCTTAGAGTTTGCAGATCCCAGACCTTTAGGAATAAAGCTAAATATTACTGGTCTAAAGTGTGATTTGTTTGGTTTTTTCTTTTCCCTTTCTCCAGAAATTCCAGACGATGGTAATAGCATTGCTGCGATCTATCATGCAGTTAATGAACTTCCAGCAGCCAACAGAGATACTTTAGCCTTTTTAATGATACATCTTCAAAGGTTAGTACCAGTACGCATTTAGTTCTGTCTCAATATCTGTTTCTCTTACTGTTTGTATTTATGCAACTTTGTGTGTGATCTGCAGAGTGGCTGAAAGGCCAGAATGTAAAATGGATGTGACCAATCTGTCGAAGGTGTTTGGTCCTACTCTGGTGGGTCACGCAGTTTCTGATCCTGACCCCATGTCGATCCTGCAAGATACAAAACGACAACCAAAGGTATATCTCCGAAAACGATGATCTGGGGGAAGTGCAGTGTATTTTCTGTCCGCATCTTACATAAAATGTGTAGTGTATGGCCTGACTCACATTTTACTTTTTTCAAAATGTGTGTTCTATTAATATAGAAATGTTATAGAACAACCTCTAAAGTAAGATCTGAAGTCACTCAGTTTCCCTTTGCTCAACAAGTGTTGAGAAAGGATATTGGCTAAATAGAAAATGTGTAGTTTTCAGTGAGTCCGGCCGACTTGAACTTGTGCTGTCTGGGGAAATTGAGCTCAACCCGCTGTACAACATGGAGAGATTATGTCATTAACAATTATAGCTTTCCTTTTATACATGTGTAACTACATTAAAAATGTTTTACACAGATTGAAATAAACACAATGAAGGGGGTTTATCAAAACTTGGAGCAGACAAAATCTGGAGCAGCTGTGCATGGCAAACAATCTGCATCTCTTTTTTTCAATTTGTTCATTTAAGATTTGGAAATTGAAAGCGAGAAGCTGATTGGTTGCAAGCCACAGCTGTTCCAGATTTTGTCTGCTCCAGTTTTGATAAATTCCCTTCAATTATCTGTTATATATAGGTAAAAAAAAAAAAGGTACTGCAGCATATGTTGAGCTTGGGTTACTGATGAGCCTTGCTGTATTTTTATCTTAGGTAGTGGAACGTTTGATGTCACTTCCAGCAGATTACTGGAACCAGTTCATGATGGTGGAAAATGTGGACCCATCTCATGTAATTGAAAATACCAACATTTTTAGCACTCCGCAGACTCCTGATATGAAAGGTAAACTTACAAACATGAAACGCGTGTTAAACCCGATCACTCCTTTTGTAACTGTACCTTTGACTTTGAAGGAGTTGCTAGCAGTCCTCTTACTAGAAATAAGTGTTGAATGCAGCTCTGCCTTTCTTCATTTTGTAAACTTGATATAACAAGCATGATAACAGGTAGGTTCATGTGCACTCACAAAGGCAGAGTTTGGTATTCTGGCCTATTGACTAATAAACCTACATGATGGGTTACTTAATCTTGCCATGTATTTTTGTTATGAAAACAATGGCCATTCCTTCTGATGGATAAGTATAAAATGCCAGTCACTTGTATATTCTCCCTACACTTCTGTTTCATCCCAATTTGTAGAAGCCAATAAGGATTTGTTACTGTTACCCATAATCCACTTATTTTCTTTTTAAAATGTGCTTTTTTCTTTCAGTGAGCATGTTAGGACCCCTGACAACACCTGAGCAGCAAATCACCAAAACTCCTTCCACAAGCTCTCTTTCCCAGATGGTTAAATCTACTATTAGCAGAAACACACCAAAGTAAGTAGCCTTGACTTCAGATGGCTGCTTCGAATTTATCAGTTTTATTTTTTTTTTAAACTGCACTTAAGACCACAAGCACCAATCAGTTGTAGGAAACTAGCACTATTCAGAGGGAGGTCGATGTAATATCCAAATTGTACTTTGTGCCTCTATTTTATCAATCAGCATTGTTCACACTTTTGAGCTTTGTACTTCCATCTGCCTAGATGAGAGAAGTATGTATGCTCATAGGCTTTTTATGAGCCCAGATTGTGTTAATACGGTTTCGTGGACCTGACATCAAGAAGAAGTGCACATGGTTTGCATTTTTATACTTATGATGGGTAGTGCATTACTGATCTTGGTATATGAAGGCAAATATGAGACTACCTATTCTTTCCAGCAATGAAAGGCCAGATGCTTTCTTTGTGCACTGGTATAAATGGAAACTTGTGTTAAGAGAAATATGTGCATTGCGCCTGCTGACCTCTCCTTGAGAGGTCAGCAGGCGCAATGGTCCATTGTGTTCACTGTTGTGAACTGCCGGTTGATGGTCCATTGTGTTCACTGTTGTGAACTGCCGGTTGAGAGTTCTGACTTCACTCGCTGAATGCTTAATCTCCAACTCAAATGATTTAATCTGGAGACAAACATTTTATTTACTTAATTTTTCTTTGATTTTGGTGATGTGGGTGGGGCTTAAGGTGAAACTAAACTCAAGAGTTAAATCTTAGAAATGCATTCTAGTCCCTTAACCATTAACATAAATGCATCTTATGTGTGTCACTCGTCTGTAGATCTAATTATCTCTGAATTGGTGCTGACACTGTCCTTCCTTCTGGAGGGTGGCTACTTTTGTTCCCCATGCTCCCTGTGTGTTGTAAGGTAGTCACCGCTCCAAGTTCACTCCTGTGATGGACTACAATCTCATGTTTAGTTTTCTTATTTGTATTGATATTGTAGTCCATCACGGGAGCCTTCCTATTGCTGTGATACTCTGTGCATAAATTCTCTAACGGCAATCTAAATGCCTTTTATGTGGGTATGTAACTAAAAAGCTCCGGCTAGTCTGTGGAAGGCAGACAACGCTGCTGAATTCTTGCTGATCCCCGATAGACCAGTGACGTCACTTGCTGTCACCCATAGCTCTATGGCATCGTCAGCTGGGAAAGAGTTCACACCCACCAGCTGCAGAGAAACAAAATAGATGGCGCTTAAAGGTGCCCATACACTGTACGATTCTCGTACCAGAATCGCGGGAAATCCCGCGATCGTACGAGAATCGTACAGTGTATGGAAGGCGTGCAACCGTTTCTACTCTACGGTCTCACGTCTTCCATCGAACAAGCAGGCTGGAAAACCCGCCGGGAATCGTACGATTCTCGGCGAGTGAGTGGCCTGCTTGTTCGACAACTGACGAACGGGCCGGTGTGCGCACACTGCCCGTTTGCCGTGCTTGCAAGCCCGCCCCTCATTGCAGTCATCGCAAGCCCGCCCCTCAAGGGGACGGGCTTGCGATCGCAAGTACGATCTGCCTGTCCAAGATGGGCAGATCGTACTTTTTTTTAAGTACTTTACAACCATTGCAAGACTAAGGTCTTGCGATGGTTGTAAAGTGTATGGCCACCTTTAGGGTCATGTGACAACATTAAAAACATTTCCTAACTTGTATTGAGATTGTAGTCCATCAGAGGAGGGAGTTTGGAGCGGTGACTACTTTACAACACACACAGGGACCATGGGGAACAAAAGTAGCCACCCTCCAGAAGGAAGGACAGTGTCAGCACCAATTCAGAGATGATTTGAGGATCTACAGCCGAGTGATGCACAAATGAGATGCATTCTTGTTAATCGTGGGCATGATTCCCTAAAGCCCTGTCTCTACACATTATGATTTTTGAAAAAAAGGAAGAGCAAAACCATTTTTCTATCTAATATGCTTAGTTCTTTGTGTGTGACGAGATGTCCCGGGAGATGAGGCCAACCACAAACTGAGAGCAGTTTGTTCATTTTTGGCCCGACCTGTGCGCATGCCTTGCTGTGTTTCTACTTTTGTACACATTCCTTGGGGGGGCATGCATGGTAACAGCACAATGGGAAGTGTGCAGAGCTAGAGGCATACAACAAAGCGGGTAAAGGAAGGCAATTAATCTAAGCTCTGAATGTACTGTCATTTTTGCTGTAGGGAGAAAGCAAACATTTCTTCACTTATTTTACATATGCAGTTCTGACTTAACATTTTCTCCTTTTTTGTTTTAGGTTTGGAAGTAAAAGTAAATCGGTCACCAGCATTGCCCGACAGGGCAACTTCTTTGCCTCTCCTCTACTGAAATGAACTGATGGTGCTTAATAGATGACAGTTGCACATCTCCTAACTTACAATATTCTTTTTAATTCATACTGCGGTTTTATTAGTTTTAAATCAAATACTGTAACATGCAAAAGGCAATACTGCAAAAAAAAAATTTTATTTGAGCTTTTTACCTCTACTTATTCAATGCAGATGTTAGAATATTTAATTTTACGTCTAACCTGGTTTTTGTTTTATGGTGTATACTTTATATGTTGACTTTAAATCGGAACTATAGGAAATTGCTGAATACACAGTTGAAATTCAAGTATGTCAGCTGCTTCACAGTCCTAAGGACTCCTATTTCTTTTCAGCCAGGCTTTGCAGCACATTCCTCTTGCACACTGCACATCTAGTCGTTTTGCAGCTTCCTTTGTTCGGAACTAGCTGTCCATTGCACATAAACCTGCATCTTCACATGGTAAACGTGAACTAGGGAACTGCACATACGTCTGTGCAGTGTATCAGAGGTATATAAAGCAGAAGCCTGTCTGACAAGGTCTACAAATCTTTAGGTAGATGAAACAGTTGACACAAATGGAGTTTGACTGCGTATTTAGCCATTTGCCCGGAGTTCTGTCTTAAACCCAACTCCCTTTTGTTGGAGAAGCCAATAACACCTCTATGCCAGGATATTAATACACTTATTTTATATATTCAAAGTTTTTATTTCTTGTATGCCCTTTTGTCTTAGAGTAGAAGCGAAGACTATACAATAACCCACCTCTGAAATGTAGCCTTCCCATTGCTCTGATAGTCAGTGCAGACTTTTCCTAATGGCAATCGAAATGCCTTTTATGAAGGTTTTTTTTACATGCTTATGCAACTACAAAGTTCCGGCTAGTCTGTGGAAAGCCAACAACGCTGCTGAATTCTTGCTGATCCCCATAGAGCATTGTCGTCACTTGCTGTCGCCTATAGCTCTAAGGCATCGTCAGCCGGGAAACAGTTCACACCCACCAGCCGCAGAGAAACAAGATTCAGACAGTGCTTTAGGGTCATGTGACACCATAGAAAAACTTTTAAAAGAAGTTTTTAGTTTGCAATTTGTTAGAAAATGTATGTAGGGAATATCTGAGCAATGGGGAGACAACATTTTAAAGGTGGGTTATTGTGTCACCATCTTTTTTAAAGAAGTTATGAAAGAAAATGTATTTTACTTAAAGGGAAGAGTCAAGCATTGTCAGAATGACTCTGAAAGCTATGGGCAATGTCGTTAGCTTGTACATTTATTTTTATATTGTGTAATAACTTTTGTAAATACAGCACTGATAAGTTATCCTTGCCCCAAAATGTACAAATCCTGAGTGTGCTTTATCCTTTAATCTTCTTTGAATTAAAGGGAAGTCTGTACCTCAGCGTTTTATCTATGAAAAGATTTTACAGGGCTGCACACCCAAACTATAAGTTGGCATTTAGCAAGATATGAGTAAGTTGGCAAAACTTCCATGAAGAAATTTGACTGTTCCTGTACATGCCCCATGCGTGTAACAGACGGTTTTCTGCATGTCGCAGCATCAGTTGTAAGGCGTGACGTCTGTCCCAATAACAGCTACTACAATCCCATTCCTCTAAGGGTACTTTGGTTGATAATCCGAGGTGTCTGTATCCCACCTAGCACCTTCATGGTTAATGACTCCCGAGTGGCAAAGGTCTTTAAAATCTGATTTTTTTTTTTTTTGGTTGATACAAATGAAAGTAGACTTGTGCTCGAATGTTAAATTACAGCTTGAGTCTTGGTGGGTATATTAAAGATTAACCGTCTTAAATACTTAACATCCCTGGCATAAATGGTGAACCAGAGTCTCTCCAGTGCAGCACACAATCAAAAGCCTGGGCATTTGGTCACATGATCTCTGCTGCAGAATAAGAGGATCGAGTGCAGACTGACTGAACCTTGTTTAGCAGTGATCATGTGAACAGAGAACCTTGGACAAGAGAGGCTAAATTGGAAATACGATCAGTTATTCACAAGGCCAGCATGAGTTTAGTTCCACTTTTGAAGCACATGTTGGCTACCTGCATAACTCTGATTTCCCAAAACGCAAGGTTCTGACCTTGGCCCTTATTGTAGTCATTATTTTGCTCTAGCACAGGCCAACCACTCCTCATGGTTTTCTTATTGAAAGCAACTAAAGTTTTACCAAAGGTTTTACCTAGCTGATGGCATCAGAAAACCCATTTTAGTGCCAGCTTGCAGTTTAGGTTGGTAACGCCCAAGTTTCTTGTGAACGCCTGGCACATATTGCCAGTGGTTATATAATTGTAATGTCTGCACTCATTTTTTGTTTGTAGTTTATTACATAAATATACTGTATATAAATTATAGACATTTAAACAGCTGGCTTTTTTTTTTTTTATTGCAATGGGGTGGAAAAAACAATTTATTAGGTTTTGGGGAAATTACCTCCTCAGAGTTAGTGGCTTAGTGCTTTAGAATTACCAAATTGGTGGCACAGCAGGCCTCTTCAGAGTCTAAAGCTGGCCATAAACCTGTAGATAATCTGCAGACTTTCTATGGTCAGATGGAAAAAATGCAACAGGTTCCCCCTCCTACGCTAAACTGTGTGAATGGATGAATCTCCCACTGGGCCAAGTTTCAGTATCTTGCTAGTCGGCCCCGCTGGCTCTCTAAAAACCTAAACAATCTGATTGGATGCAGGCAATGTTCAGGTATGTTGACAGCCAGCGGGGCCAGGTAGCAAGAGACTGAAGCTTGGTCCAGTCGGAGTTTCCTTCATCTATGCTAAACCGTGTAGATGGAGGAATCTGTTGTACTTTTCCCATCTGAGCATAGAAAATCTGCAGATAATCTATAGGTGTATGGCAAGCTTTAGTCCTGCCCTTCTAAGGATTGACACAAGCAACAAATGGATGCTCCAACCCGAAGACTATACCTTCTAACCTGAAAACTATTCCCAATTTCCCATAACGTCTTCCAGGACAGCATCACGAGATGGAATCTCCTCCCCCACACACAGGAAACGCGTCACTTAATTTGCTTAAAAGACCCTCCACTTCCTCAGTCTTTTGTGTTTCCTCAGTCAAGCTGGGGAGCGCGTCACAGAACGCTGAGAGGGGCTTATCCTAACTCTGAATTTCGGCTTGCTGTCAAGAGTTTGGGCAATGTAAACCACTTTTTATGGCGTCTTTTTATCCGTTACTGCCTTTTTAAAGACTTTTCTGGATTCCTGAAGAAGCGTTGCTGCTAGGTGCAGGAATATTTCTGTCCTAAAGTGTTGCACCAGACCCAAGATCTAGAGATTCACTGCTAGTGGTCAACGATTTCCTCAGGTCCAAAGAGCAAATCTTTTCTGGTACTGGTACCATTTTCTTCCTGGGACTTGTGGTTAGCAGGTTCTGCCTGTCCATCTCTCCTATTTAGGTAAGGCAATCATGTGGTGTGGAAATGTGGTCACTCACATGGAACAAGAATGCAGATGAGCACTTCTGACTTTCCTAATCTACAGTCTAAAGCCAAATATACACAGTTCTATTTTTTTTTTCGTTCAACCCACAGGCTGAAGAAAAAAATAGAATGGATTCCTCCGTCAAAGCTTACGAGCATTTATCGAGGCATCCCCCTGCTGTTTCCTTTTGTATTCTGCATGGTAGGTGCGATTGCGTAGCACTGTACTAGTGTGAACAGGCCCTCCAAAAACACTGACATACATACATACACAACCACAGGCACAATCTCTCACATACACACTTCAAAACGATATATTTTTTTAAGGTCCACCCAATCTACCTACCTTACGAGAACAGGAGTGGATCCTCAGTGTGGGCTGCTGTGTTGAGACGGAGCTCCATCCATATGTGCATCGCTTGTACAGCTCCCTTGAGTGCCCTGTAGAGGTGCCAGGAGCTGGAATGTGATGTCACTCCAGTCCAGGCACCACTATAGGACATGTGAGGGAGCTGTAAGCAATGCTCGTATGTATGGAGGTCCCTCGTGCCCATTGCCCCATCTCATCCCACATCAGGCTGACATGTAGGCCAGGCAGCATATTTTGAATGAATGCTTGGTGAGAGAACTGACAGTGCTGCACTAGGTAGAGGCAGAGTAGCCTCTCACCTAGAAAAGTGGAAGGCATGTGGTGGCCCACTTAACACGGGGTCACGACCCACCACTTGAGAACCAAGGATTTAAAACAGGGCTGTGCAAATTAACGATTAATTTCTCGATTAATCGTTAATCTTTTTGATCGATTACATTTTGTTTGAAACTTTCTGCATGAGCGCCAGCCAAGGCATTGGCCTATACACATACAGCAATGAAGTAATAAAAATGAACTAGGATCACACTAATCCAGCACATTATTATTCTGAGTTGCCCCACTCAAGCGGTGGCCATATTGAGTGGGGCACGTGAGATTAACGTGCTGGATTAGTGTGATCCTAGTTCATTTTATTACTTCATTGCTGTGCTGTATGTGTATAGGCCAATGTAGTTGGATCTGTATGTGCATTATAATTAATCGATTAAAAAAAAAAATTTGATTAATCGAACACGAAAATTTTAATCATTACTAGCCGTAATTTAAAGCAATGCTGATGTGTCCCTAACACAGCTATGCAAGAAAACACTAGGGGCAATTTTTAGCACAACCAAAAAAAAAAAATTATAATTATGCAAAAGGCCTATTTGTATGACAGTTTGCTAAAGCACCATAAAACGATTGACACTTTAAAAAGTGTTTTTGTTTTTTTCCCCTCTCTCTTTCTGGTCTGTTGCAGTGCGTTTGTAGCCCATTCATAATAAATGGGTTGCCTTAACACATAATGTGATGACGCACCACATTTTGACTCCAGCTTTAGTCTCTATCGGAAGAATGTGTGGTGGAGACAACACGGGGAAAAATTAGAAGCCAGAGACTGAGTATTGGGACCATGTAACAGGAAGCACCTGCATGAGAACCTTTATGGCAGGATTACCGGCTAAGGAGTTCTATAGTCCCAGCATATCCTCTCCTGTTATAGCATAAGCATTATGATAGGAATACATCCTAGAGCTGTTTTAATAATGCAATCAAAGCTTTTCAACATTCATTTTATGTAGTGAGTGCTGCTTTCTGTCTGCCTGTTTACTTCCACCAACTGCCTGTATTCCCAGTGTGCTTTGCATCTTTCTCTGCTGCTTGATGTAATGCACTCTGAATTCTCAAGACTACATATCCCACCATGCATTGCTTCCAGCAAGCA